CTATCCTTTTATTAACCTAATCCTCTTAGTATTCTGTGCACGCCTTTCTTCTTGCACTGTACAAGAGCAGCTCTCAACTCCTCTAATTTTCACCAACTTTGAATGGCACAGGGATCCGAAATTATAAAAACAGCTGGAGCATGTTCATTGTAGCCAGGTCCTCATCCAAGAAAGGGCATAACCTTCTGGCATGTTCTTGCATTTAGATATAGATTTAGATATATACTTAAGTCATGCATTTATTCATATTGGCATCATAATAACATAAGAATGGCCCTACTGGGTCAGACCAAAGGTCCATCTAGCCCAGTATCCTGTCTTCTGACACTGACCAATGTCGCTCATTCCCAGCTTTTGGCAAACAGTGGGACTACACAGTATAACTAAGAACAGCACTGGCCCAATATTATGAATCACTTCGGTATTATCCAAATAATGGTATTTGAATAGTCGAGCTTGGTTTGCTTTGTCAATATTCCACATGAAGGAGGTTGAAGCCATTTCATTTAAATCCAAATGCTGCTGACTTTTTTCTAAAAGCACATGCATTAAATCTTAATTTAATATCTGCAAAAACACTAAAATGTTTTGTTTACAGAAGAACTTCCACAAGAAACAAAACTGAAAAAAAAGAACATTAATACTGAAAGAAATGGACGTGGCCATTTTGGCCCTGATTCAACAAAACACTTAGGGCCAGATCCTGAGAAAATATAAACTGGATATCAGATAAGAATCTGAACCTTAATCGTATGCTTCAATCCCATCCCCAGTCAACAAACCACTTAAGCACAAGTTTATATTAATTTGGTATTAAGTTAATGGGAATTAAGCACATACTTAAACTTAAGCAAGTCCTTAAGTGCTTTGTTTAAACAGGGGCTATCTTTCTAAATTCCCTTGACCATTAATAGAGATAATTCATTTTCTATTTGATCAGCCACCCTAAATTTGTATAATTTTCAATATTCTTGCTTTATTACTTCATATTGTAAACAGCTATCTACTGAACATATATACATATTTTCAAATTTATTAAAAATTGCACATTATACTTACTTGTAACCCCATCCAGTTATTCCTAAAACGAGAGCCAACACTAAAATGGTGCCAGCAATAGCCCCTATTATTATATTTGTACTAACAACACCTGGGAGAAAGTGAAAGACAAAAAAACAAAATATACAGAAATTTAAAAATAAAAATATACAAAGCAGTTAAAGCACTATTCTAGAGATTTGTTTGAGAAACTAGATTTGTGCTAAATATTTTAAAACTGTGCTAGAGTCCTGTAAATAGTATTAATATGTTTAACAAGGGACTTTTAAAATTAGGAGCTATTGTAGTTTGACCACGTAACAGAAAATGAATTGAATTAATTAATTTCCAATCATGTTATAACTTCCGGAAGTAAATTAATTATTCAAAAATATTAAATTAAAAAAATAATACAAAGCCACTAGAAACACCTGCAACGTATATGGAACCATATGTATGAGTCTGTGTGTAAGTATATGAACATTAAATCTATGATTAAAACACGGATGTTCAGTCAAATTAGATCATTCAATGGGCTGCACATTCTTAGCCTTCTAAATTTAAATAGGGGGTGTCTCATATAATGAAATAGGATCTGTAATAAGATAAAATGTCTTTATACCTGTATCGGAGGGGCAGGAGTAGAGGACAAAAAGACTTAGAAACTCATTTTAAAATGTTAAATTTAAATTAAAAATACAGACATGTTGATACTCTGTATAACATTTATACAATACTTTGAGGCTCCCTTGATTTGGTATAGAAGATTTCTTGTTCTCAGTTCAGAGATTAAGACTTTCTATTTTTCATTATGATCGTCTAGCTCAATGCTTCCCTTTCCAAAAGGGGATGTCCAAATACAAACCTCCAAGTGCCATATAAAGATACAAAAGTTGCCCCATATGCATATTTCTTCAGTTATTTATAAATAGTACATGAACAGCATTTTTTTAAAATCATCTATCATGCTGTAAGTATGTACAATGAAATCTACATTAAGTGATCTCTCAATGGACAAATAAAAAGTGAGGCGTGAAGGGAGAGTGTCTTTTGATAGAGGTAAATGATAATTTTACTTTAAAAGCTGAAGGGAATCCTACGTGAGATTTAATCATACTTATTATATGATGCCATACATTATTTTAATTATTTATATAACACTTAAAATATAAATACACAATAAAAACAGACTTTTACCATACAAAGGAATATTTGTAGACAAAACATCTATCTATCTGACTGTTACCCTTGACTAAGAGCTTGTCTACATGGGAAAGTTTTACCAGTTATACCAGTATAATTACACCACTATAGTCATACTACTATAATTCCCCTTGGGACACACTCATTCTCAAGTAAGAATGCCTTTTTCAGTGTAGCTTATGTTGCTTAAGAAGGGGTTTAAGCTACACTGAAAAAGTAATTCTTCTTTCAGAATAAGAGTAGGCACCTGGGCCGTTATAGTGGTGTACCTATAAAGGTTTAAATTCACATTTTAACTTTTACCAATATAACTTCCTTATGTAGACAAGCTCAGAGATTAAATAAAAAATGTGTTTACATAAATCACTTATTAAATCTGAAAATGTACATTCAGTTATGTGTGCACATGTTATGCACAGATATTATATGTTCATATGATGTGCATGTATGCAAAAAGAGGCCATGTTTTGAACATTTGGCCCTGGAGAATAAGACAATTAAAAATATAAGCAGTGCTGACTCTTTTATCTGGTAATGGGGGGTAGGGGGGTTGCTGGTAAAATTCTGCTAATCTTAACCAGGATTAGTTCCATTTATTTTAATAAGTTCATTCACATGAGTGATGCAAGCAAGATGCACCTGGATTCACTTCTACAACCCACATGGCACTCTTATGAATTCTATAGGAGTCAAGCTGCGCAGATCCAGTTGTAGGGTTGAGGCATTCTTAGACCATTTGTTTTGTTTTGTTTTGTTTTGTTTCTTTAAAGAAAGAGGTCAGGCTATCTAGGATATTGCTATATGCTAAGTGAGGGAGTAGCTGATCTAGCTTTGCTTGTTGGACCTTCCCCCAAACCAAAGACTAGCCTCTACAATTTGTTGTCTATTGAAGTATTACCACAAATATATGCATTACACACCTTTGCCTGCCATTTCTTCATCAAAAATTGAAGCATCTTTGTAAGCGGTGTTGCAGTCATCTCCTACCCAGAATCGATCACACACACACTTGATTTCATTGCTGCAAACCTGCAGTTCAAAACGTAACCCAGAATAGAATCACAAAATGAACTTTTTTTTCACTATTTAGAATACGAATTAGGTAGAGTTGTGTGGAACTGGTAAAAAAATGCTGCAAAATTCTGTACAATATTTTTGTTGTTCACTTTGGGAGACTGTCCCCCTCAGATTTCAGTTTTCTTTTAAAATAGATTAAATTGATAATTTCACATCAAAAACTGAGTTTCGGCACCGTAGAAATAGGAGCTATCAAGGAGTATGTTATGGCTCCCTTAGAACAGGGCAGGTTTGAGCAGTCTGGGGATCGCTTTAAACTATGACAGGGATCAAGGGACTCTATGCCATCTTGGAATAGCCAGAACTCAGGGCACTCCAGCAACCCCAGTCTCTGGCCCAGCACAGGAACCAAATACAGTAGCTGTGAACTAACTAAGAACTCCCCATACTGAGGGAATTCTCACCTGATAAGATCCAGATCTTTATGGACCTTTTGTGCTACCTGTACAATACAAAGGGTCCAGAATATGACAATCAAATCTGGACCTATATATTTTAAAGTTTCCCAGAGCATGGTATTAAGTCCTTTAAATTCACATGAGGAAAGATGAAGCAAGTTGGAGGAAGTGATGAAAACTAAGTAATTTATATAACTTTTGTAATAATAGTATATACACTTACTGTAATACATAGCTCAGACTGCTCTGATTCCGATGTATTCACTACCTTTATATTTGACATACAATCTTTAAAAGTGTATCTAGAAAATTAACTTGTACCGCCAACAATTCAGTTTACTTTAATAAAAATGATCTACCTAGTAACAGAAATGCATAAACTTGGAAGCATTCAATAAAGGCAGCAGAAATGTAAAAGTCAAGGCTAAAAAAACATGATAACATACTCCATGTCCTGAACAAATTTTGTCATCTGTAGTGCCTGGACAGATGCTGAAGTTAAAGGAATCAGTGGGGAGACATCTGCGCTCAAAACAGATCATCTCTGGGCCACATGGCGTTCCATCCTCAACATAGCCCAGGTCTGTTTCTTCATCTAGCTTAACATGGCCACCACTGCAAAACAAACAAAGAGCCACAATATATTTGCGCACTGCTTCTAAGGTGACCAGAGGGCAAGTGTGAAAAATCGGGACAGGGGGTGGGGGGTAATAGGTG